ATTCCTCATTTAGAATTAAATTGTCAAAAAGAGCTGCGAAGAATTTGATTTTGTGAACAAGACAAGTGTTCCTTTGCTAGAGAGACCTGTCCAGTAATCTTCTCAAAATTTTCCCTACTGAACTTCCTCAAAGCCTTGTTCGTGCTGCTCAGCTGCTCATACAGCAAAAACATAGGAGAGCCAGCCTTCTCAGATTCACTTATGTGAAGTTTGCTGAGTTGCTAGAAATGGCCAAACAGCTTCCACAGTTTGAAGATAATTTGAATGCTTACTCTAGACGATAAAGGATTTGAACGGAGTTGGAGGTTTGAATTCATCAGGAACCAATCTTTATTAGTGCAGGGCGATTATCCAATACATCAGGAGCCAAAAAAATCAGCAGAAGCAAGAGGAAAAGACAGAAACCAAGCCTCAATTCCCAGAGCTCTATCCAATTTCCTTTTCACAAATCCCACCAATCTCCTATTAGACCTGGTGAAGAAGTTACCAATAGTATTTCATGTCCTGTAGCTCCAGGTGACAGGAGCAATTGCTTGAAATTCTCCATATCTCCAGAACGTCATCAGAGTTACTAGCTTCAGAGGTAGAGCAAAATGTGTTGAAATCTCGAGCAAGAAGCCAAGGCTGATCAATAGTTCGAAAGATGATAGTGAGCTGATCGCCAAGTTGTTTCCTCTCTCCAGGCTTATTAGCAGCATAGATGACAGAAAAGTAAGAAGTATCATAATGCGAGTTTTCAAGACAGGACCAATTAGAGAAATTGCTATTAACAATCTGAGTAGCATTTTCTTCTTGAGTTTCTAAAACACAAAACAATTGAACATCATTCTATCTGACAAGATCCTTAACAATTCTATGCTTATGGGGCTTATTAAGACCCCTCAAATTCCAGCATACAATGTTCACGAGGAAAGAATTGAGGAGCAAGACATACCATCTAGCTTTCTTTAACTCAGCTTCCATATTAGTATTCTTCCTTGGACCTCTTTTCCGATGAATGACTTGCTTCTACACCTCACCAACAGTCTTCCTTGGAGAAAGTTTAAAATCACCCAGGAGGAATAGCCCCATCCTTATCAACTATCAAAGTCAACGGAAGCCTCCTCCACTTCGGGCAATATGTCAAGCGCTTCCTCTTCTTCCTTCTGAACAGCAACAGAGGCAAGAACTACAAACTGATATTTAGCCGCACCCGCCCCAGAGAGAACACTAGTAATAGCATTGATTGTGAAACCTTAGGAGAGGACACATCAGCCAAATTCTTAAGGAAAGACACTTTTCAAGGAAACCATTTCAAACATTTCCGATTCTTTGGAAAAATGACGATATCTGGAGCAATTAGCACATTGTCCAGAACCCCAAGGTACTCCAACTGTGATTTTAACCATTTCATCATCATCCAGCCACACGACAACATTCCTAGGCAATTCTTTAGACGAAATTCACCTCAACACAGATCTTTTGCATAAGAAAGTCTTGTCCCATCTCTCGTAGCCTTGTCAGGATACAGATACACCAATTGCACTAGTTTTGTAACTCAAGCCCTCCATTGTCATAAGGTACAGTAGAACTCTCTGTAGCTTAACCCAAATAAGAGTTTTCAACTCCAAACTCTGCAGTTCAGGCTTCCATTTTCTCAGCACAAGAGGATAGTGTGCAATTGGTGTGTAATGATTAATTGCAGTAGATTTATAACAAATGAATTAAACCTTCTTGCTTTTGCATCTTGTTCGGGTATTTACATGAAGTTTTGGATGAATTAAGCTAATTTAATCCGTAAAAGTTTCATGGGAGTTGTAAATAATTGCCCATCAAAATCCTGGAAGCATGTGTAACGTGCTAGATTGCTGATATTCCTTTACAAATTCGTAACTTCAAATCTTATTTTCTGCCCAAGAATATTATTTTGGTTCTCTTCCAATTTCTTCTGTTAGAACTCACTCTCACAATTAAATTACTCGTAAGTGCAGAGTTCTCTTCTCTTGTGCATCAGGTGAGATGATACCTAGAGTCAAACCATGCTTAGTAGCTTTCTCTCGAAAAGGACCTTTGATGAGCTGCCTATATTAATATTCTTCTGGTCTTCGGAGTATCGACCTAATAAAGAGCATTGCAAGAATTCAAGTATCTCATAATCCATTCAACCCAATGGCACAGGATCGGATCTGATCGGACTTCATTATGCGGTCAGCTTGACCTGGTAGGCTAGCAGCATTTGGGACGGCCAGTCTGGTTTGGTCCCGGCCATCTCAAGTTATATTACTCAAGCAGGTGCTAATTTCACAATTGACAATCATATTTTCGCTTGATTTTGAGACTGCAAATTAGGAAGGGGCCGGGATTTTCTTTCTGGCCATTAAATTAGAATGGAACATAGAAGCAAATAAGGTCCCCCATTGGCGATAGAAGAGCCTTGAGTAAATTACTCACAAATCGTCTAAAGAACAAAATGAAAGAGTATGAATCTGAATTTGATTGCACACTAATCGGTGTGGAGATTTGTATTATATTTATAGTATGTACATGAGCGGAAGAATCACAATTGAAAAAAAATTTACAAAAGGTAAGAATCTACAATATTAGCACAACTTGTAAAAGATTTGCTCTATCAATGAGATTGGCATAGATTGCAGAAGATTGACGTTATTAATGGGATTGGCATAGATTGCGGAATATTGCTCTATCATGGGAGATTTGCTATCTCACAAAAAAGTCAGAGCAATAAACTAACAATAGATCAAGAGATTAACTGGTTGGGACAAACAAAATGCCAAACTGTTAAAAAAATGTCTCGAGTTTGAGCCCGTTGAACAAACACCGAAATTACAGCAGGCGGGTCTATCTTGATAAATAAAGTCCAAGTTAGAATTTTGTGATCGTCTGCAATATTGTTTAGCTTGCTGGCCGTACTCCTTACATCAAATGCTTAGCATGTGAAAGGAAGAAGAAGGTGTGAGGGGTTCTAGGTTCCTTACATGTTTCACGTGGAACCTGGAACCTATCCTCGGGTACAGGATCCTCATTTTTTGGAATCTGAAACCTACCAGTCGGAACCTGGATCTTGAAACCTACTCGATCACAGGTTCTAGGGTCTAATAGGTTCTTTTTTTTTTATTTTCATTTTTAGTTAAACAAAACGAAAATGAACGCAACAATACTGAATAAGCTTGTCATTCACTAAAGAGAATACAAAAGACTAGTTTTCCTAACATTAAGGTTAAAATAAATACAATTAAAATGAGAAGTCATTGCGTGAATCGATACTATGGGTGAGTAATTTCATGTTTCCTACAAGTTCCACATGGAACCTACTCTATCACAGGTTCTAGGTTCGCTCCACCCTATCACAGGTTATAGGATTGGTTCCAAGGTATACCCAAGTTCCACATGTATTATTAATTGAACATTTGCAGTAGATCATCACCTTTAATGACCATCACTTGCTGCTATGATCCACTGACCACAACTTATATTTATACACATGAAGAATATAAAATATTAACAAGTCATAAAATGAAAGCTCAGATTAGTGGTTCCAGATTATACACTCATCATCTAACGCCATGAAATATCGTAGAATCACGCGAAGATATAAACCAAGAAAAAATACAAAAAAACTTGTTTAGGTTACCTGAAACCTATATATTGAAATAGGTTCTTCAATTTTTTAAATTTGGAACTTACCCTAAATACCCAAAATCTGGAATCTGCAAGTTTCCACCGATTAGGTTTTCAAATTCTAAAGTAGAATCTGAAATCATGCTCACCCCTGGAAAGAAGAAAGCACGAAGACAAAGAAAGCAGCAAACTCACGAGCTACCATTTAACGAAGAGGGCCCTCCATGCATTATAAAGGACCCACTAGCTGCTCTCGCTCTTTTGGCCATACATGAAAATTCTGCATCCTGGCCGCACGTGGAATTGGCAAAGTAAAAGATTGTAGGCTTGTTTTGTCTCTTGTCCACATTACTAACTCTTTCGTGCAAGTCAAAAAGGAGCCGCCGGAGCCCATCTTAACAAATGTGAAATAGAGATAAGCTCTTTATAAAGGGCAGAGGAGCGAAGGTGACGGGAATGTCTTTGAACACCGAGAGAAGAGAGCCCTGAGACTGCATAGAGGAAAATTGTGCATAGAGTTCTTCTCGTGAGGGTTTGCTTGTTGTAATTAGATCCTACAGTGATTTAGTCGGTTAAATTTTTATAATTAGAATTTGTTTAATTCCTTGAGCTAAAAAGTTTGTGAGTTATTGAGTATAATTGGAGGCTGGGAAATACCGAGAGAGTGTGTGGGTGTTCGAGTGATTGTAATCTCTATTGCATCGCTTGTCTCTATAGTGAAATTTTGTATTGCTTTTTTCGTGGACGTAGTTACCGACATTTAGACCAAACCATATAAATCCGGTGGCCGATCTCCATCCTTTCTTACGTCTATTTTATCTGATTTGCTTGTCTATGGTCACAACACAAACAACTCTTGAACAAGAAAACAAAAGGCTTACAATTCTTGAAGAACCCTTGTTTTGAGGCACATCATAAGATCAGCTTGCTTGATCTATACGAAGAAGACACGTTCTATTGGCACTTATCCTTAGATTCTTAGCCATAATACTGAATTGATGCATGTAGGGCAGCTTATCCTTAGATGCTTTGCAGAAACTTGGTCCTCCCCAAACAAGACATTCTGTTGGAAATCGCAAAGGATTTTTCATATCTCAAGGAGACTCTTCGTAACCCAAGTTCATCTTGGTACTTGGAATCTAGAAAGTTGTTACCTAGGAGGTTATGTCTTTCAAGATAGTCTTTAATGTTATGAATCTAGACGTGTCTGTTCATGTGACTAGAGTAAACGTAGAGTCGTGTGTTAATCCTATATATATATATGTGTCTTGTAATCTTTTTTATATAGTACAAGTAAATACAATAATATTTCAAATTTTCTTCTAACACATTCTCATAAACTAAAGCAATCATCGTGCGTCAAGCATTATAATTGTTTCCTGTATAAATAATGACACTTCACCACGTGGTGGTCGGCTTGTGTGGATGAAAGCTTTGTGCTTCTGGAGCACCTAAAACTCTCCCCAGGGTGTAGGATTTTCCATGTGCACAGCTTAATAATCTGGAATTTTGAACATTGCTGTTCTCTTTGCAACCACGACGCGCCAGAATGATCTCCACTTTACCACGGCACGGATCTTGCACCACGCCACCCTGGACCTTGAAATCCTACACTTGCGGATGCCGAAACCCATGCTGAATGGACTGATCCCTAAATCTGTGCCGCTGCTCGATTCATTGACGAAAGTATGCTCTGGCGTCCACATCAAATTGCCAGGGAACGGAGATGGCACTTCGAAAAGCTCTTCAGGAGATAAATGAATGTTCGGTACAAACGGTCCTTGTGAGTGAGCAGGATGATGACTGATGTTTGTCGCAAACGGTCCTTGCGAGTGAGCAAAAGGATTACTGCTTTCACCGGCACTACAACTGGATGAAAAGTCCTGCCTTGCTAAGCTGTTTGCTATGGTGGGATTAAAGATTTTTGCATTGACATGACTCTGTGGCCCCAGACAATCTAATTGTCTGTTCTCTGTGACATTGTAGTAGCGCAATGCTGAAGCCAATGAGTAATTAAATTCAGGAGTTACTTCTGGTCTATCTGAATAAAGATGCCGTTCGGTTTCAGCTACCATAGAGATGCAAAATGATGGATGTGCCAATAAAGAAATAGGATCGCTAAACTATAAAAGATTAAGGAAGCCGAGAATAAAAAGATAGAACTTATATAACATCACAATACCTTGGTTTAGCACTGTGTAATCTAGATGATGAAGAGGTGGGCTCAGACCGACTAACGGTTCTGTAGGCAAGGTGGTCAGGGCTCTCGGAGGAGTGATGCTGGGTAGGGCATCGCGCGGCACCCATTGATCCTTGTTATCGTAAGCTTGCCTTTTTAAGTTCTGCACCAAAATCTGTCGATCGAGCAGCGGATTCAATCAAATCCAAAGTCAAACGAATACTAATGAATTTTCAGAGAAGTGATTGTGGCATATACACTGCCGTGTAGACGAACTAGTCCAATACACAAAGGCCCTTCTTTAGCTCTATATAGACGGACACTCGGGTACTCGATAGTAAAGTTTCAGGTTATGATTTTATGTACCTTCTGAGAGCGGGTCAATTTGTCTAGCGATTGGTAAGTTTGGCCGTCAAGTGTTGCTTGAGTAACTTTCATTACCAAATTGAACAGTATGCTGGCCTTGTTCGAAGCTTGGTAGTAAGCGTACATCTTGTTATCGTCGACCGCACAGGTGCTGGCATGTCTGACAATCGTCTCCCATGTCCGGTTGGTGATCCCAGTGCCAAGTATCTGAGGTGACACAACATCATGCTTCGAATAACATGTTAAGAACAAGAGAAATTAGCGCGGCTCGGAAGAGAAATAGATACTACGTTTCTTAGAGAGGACACATCGACTTCGTGCAGCTGGAGGAAATCTTGAACGGTGTTGATTCTTCTCGAACTCATGCGTTTATGTAGAGGGCCGTCTTTGGCTATTTTCTGCAAACGCCATACTTCATCACTCAGAGATGGAGGGTGGTGCTTCTTGCTCACTGCGCATAATAGAGAAAACTTGTCAATCTTTAAGGTTCTATGTGGTTGTCTGAATTTCTAGTCAGGATAGAACTGGATATGATATGGCATGAAATCTAAGAATTTTGTTATATTCTATCAATTATTTGATAAATCACAATAATAAAGTTGAAATTTTCACATTATATCCTGTCCATTGTTTAATATAAACAACACATCAGTGTAAATGAACATATAAATTACATAAATGAAGATGGTAATAATCTTTTATGACACTCTTAACTACTTCCGAAAAATTGGAAAATATTTTTCAAAAAATAATTGGTTATATCTCTTAGCAAAATCAGTCAATTAAACATATTTTCATTATCGATAACAATTTATATCTAGCTATATTCGTGGATAATGAAAATATTTTTTATTTATTTATCTTTGTAAGCGATTCAAGCATCATTTTTCGGAAAAAAATATTTTCCGAATCTTTGAGTTCTTCCGTGAAACGAATGCATCCTAAAGTCTTTTGAAGGTCCACAGATAAAATCGGGAATTAATGGTAAAAAATCAACATGATATTGTCAAACGAGAGGCATCGAAACTAGGGCATTGCAAACTTACACTCTCCTCGACGATCTTTAACGACAAAACTTTCACTTCTCGCTTCCCTTATTCTTATTTCTGCAGAAACCTTTTGAACAGCTCGAGCTCCTAACCTGAATTTCCGACTTCTCATCCAGCTCGAGTTGTCGGTGATGATTAAATCACGGAGGCAACCGATTCCGCCTCGCAAGATCACAGTCAGCTCCCCAGTTATCAATGGCCTTTTCCCTTCCCTTTCGCAAACGATATTGCGAGCAAATTCCTTCTCGGTCCAATCCTCTCCCTTGTCCGACCTGAAATCGCCGTCAAGGACAATGATATCGAGCTTCATGGAAGATAGAGGGCCACTTGTAACCCTCTCATTGGTCCTGCCATCTACTAGTTCGATCCTGAGAGGAGTACCGTCCTTGGCTTCTATCTGACTGAAACTGAAGATGGTTGCCGGTAATTTGGTAACAAACTGCAGTCGCAAACTGCTTCCTTCAGAAGTTCCAACGGGATTCGACGGCACTCTGCGATATAGACTAGAAATACATAAATTCTCCTGTGCATACGGGATGTTGAAGTGTCGATACAATGTCGGAAAACAATTTTTCTTGTACTTGAAACCTTAGTACTGTGTCCAGTATGAAAATACTAATATGAAACAAGATCAATATGGCCTCTTTTGATTGGGATCTACCTTGAAGGTTGATGCAGGAATACAAGGAACACTGACCTTAACGACGGATCATGAAAGCGCGAGATCACAAGTTCCACTTCCTCACTAACCTGCTTGATGCAGAATGTAAATCAGATTGGAAGTGAAATTTTAAAACCATGCAATACTTATGTCCTGTTTAGCATCATGATCACAAACAGGTGATTTCCTTACACAAAATGCACGACAAATCTTACGTTTCTACAGTGTGATGTTTTCAAATACAGGGAACCTCTGCATAGCATACCAATCAAAACAAATAACTAGAAAAAGGAAGAATTCATTTGATCGGTGGATAAAAGGATTCATCCCCCTTCATAAAAAAAAGAGGTGAAGGGAAACAAATATTTATATTTTATTTGGAATTTAGTTATGACATCAGAATTCACAGATCTTTAATCGATGACAATGAACCCACCAAATAAATCACTTCAGAAACAGATAATTGAAACATTCCTAATGTAAAGCAGTAGAGCAAATCAGGACTTCATGAAGTATCTATCTTTCACAAGAAACAAGGCATGGACAAAACCCTCTACATCTTTGTGATGAAAAGTGCTTTGCCTGAGCCATACTTTTTGGTGATTTACAATGGAAATGACCAAGATTAAAATGCCCACTTTGCCGACCAAACATCTGAATCACCACTAGAAAAGAACCTTCTCAGTAGAAATCCGAACTACATCCACGACATGCTCACTGAACATCACTAAACCAGATAAATGAATTGTGATATGTTATTGAAAAAAAACCGAAGAGTCACATACTAAGCATAACAGAAGTATGAAATCGTCAATGGATTTGTGAAGAACCAGACTCGAGTTCTTCTCAAGCAACATAGCTAGTGACTGATACGCATAGCATACCACTTTCCGCAAGAGAGGCTCGACAAAAGATGCAAATTCACCCAGCGACAGTCCTCTGGTCACATTGCTCCAATGACTGCAAAGTAATCAAGAATCCGAATCAGGTCTGTTAAAGTAATACACAGTCAGAGACACTAAAATTGGAATACAATGGTCCCTGGTAAAGTAATTCTACTTAATGTTACGCCTTCTTTTTGATCCTCGAGCTGAAGATCCGGAACCACCCTCCTGAAGTTGCCTTTTGACCATCTCCAGAGAATCGAAAACACTTAAATTCATGTCCAGAGTTATCAAAACTTGCAGTGTTTATAGATACAGCAACAGACACTGCTAAACCCACAGAGAATACATAGGGAATTCAGATTTGCCCACCGCAGAAATGACATTGACTCGAGCACACAAATAGTTCTATTTGACCTAGAAAAAGAAACATGATTAACACAAAATATTTCAGGTTTTCATCTACATTTTCCCCCCATTAATTGCATTTTGACAAGTCCAAGCGCCATCTACGGGCCTTTTGGAATCATCAACTGAATTCATGACGGACCCCCATGAAGATTGGGCGAAATTACCCATTAAAAACCAAGATTGACTAACTGACTGACCAACAGTGTGACAGCTACATTAGCCGCACGATCTAGAAGATATAAAAAAAATTGTCCTTTCTAATGTTTTCCCAAGTGGGATTTGAGAGAGACACACAGTGGCATCGACCTGTAGAAGTTTGAGAGCAGCCGCGTCCTGTAGAGTGGTCTTGTACTGAATAGGAGGGGACGATCTTGTTAGAAATAATAAAACCGATTTTAAATAAAAAAAATCTAAGTTGGCTTCTTTAACTGCCAATGAGGAATTTGAGTCAAAAGTAGGATTTCTTTTAGCCACATGAAATAAATAAGGATGCCGACACTTTTTGCCTTTGGAATGATAAGGGAAAGCCAACTGGCTTGCCTCTCTGTCAGTCGGCAATCTTCCCTTTCATCAAGAGGCGATGATGCATATAGAAATATATGCAAGAGTTTGTTTAGTGAGTCAAGCATAGAGAGTGAAAGAGTTAAGCTTGTATGAGTGCAGTGTGTTCTCCTTGTAAAGCTTGCACGAAAGGCATTTTGAATCTATCTCTCCTTCCTTTGTGTGTTTGTGTGCTCTTCTCACCAAAATTATTGAAAGTTTCTATATTTTTTGGTTCCAACAGATCTTTAGATTTGAACTCTCACTGTTGCCCATTGTCTTCAGTTGAATTTCTCTTAAGAAGTCGCCGAAGGTCTGCGCGGCGATGGGTGAGCGCTAGAAGCTGTGGCCGAGTGAGTCGGTGCGAAGAAGACTGAAAGGCATAATAGGTGGGCTGCCCAAGATGGGCCAAACCCAGCCCATGAACCACAAGGCTTACAAGGTGATTATTTATCTTTTACTATATATAGTTGACTCCCGAAGGAAAACGAATGTGATTTTTAATAGATACAAATAAGACACCTCTTCGAAAGAATGTCTTCTTTGGTTTTCCTTCTATACACTAGTAGGTACTGAAGATAATTAAGGATCGCTCTCAAGTGTGCAAAGTGGCATTTAATCTGGGGAAATTTTGGGTATGTTCGTTATGTGATATGCATATACGATCGGTGATACAAGTTGATGATTATTGGGCATGTTTTTCGTGTTATTCGAATGTGTTTCGAATATGTTGATTGAGAAATGTTGATGCACCTAGGGGACCGGCGGACCCGTTATGCGACTAGACGAACCGACGGACTCGAAGTCAACGATCTCGGATTGAGCTCAAATTTGGTCGGCTGAAGCAAAATGGCGTGCTGATCAATACTCACGCCGTTGGCTATGACTAATGATGGATTTTTGCAATTCGGGATCGTTTAGATGGGTTTTTTTTTTTATTATTTTAGTATTTTTTATGGGTTAATTTAGTAAAGGGCAGTTTTGTAATTTTGCGTTTTGATGTTTATTAATCCTACTAGGGTTAGGTTTGGAGATATATAAGCTTGTTTTAGGGTTTCGTTTGAGCATACTTTTGAATAATTTGATTGTTAATTGATTGAGAGAACAATTTGTTCCTCGTTATCGTTTCGATTCTTTTGTTTAGCCTAATTTCTTTCACGCTTCGGCATCAATTGATATCAGAGCACTGGTTATCTGAATCAATGGTTGAACAGAATCGAGGTGCTCTAAGACAGCGTGCTCGTGGAGGCTGGGGGCGTGGAGTCGTTCCTGATGCAGATGAACAGTCGCGTCTGAGAGACCTACGAGATATAGAAATTCAGGAATAGAGAAGGCGAATCCAGGATTTGGAGTGACGTCTTGCGGAGGCAGGGCTTGACGCTTAACCCGAAGAAGAAGCAGAATCTGAGGATCCATTTGATGATGAAGAGGAGGACGTAAACCCTTTCGGGGTTCTGAACCAGAGGCGGAATTGAGGAGTACGACCTGGAAATCAGCGCTCTTCTCAAAATTTCAGGATGAAGATCGAGATTCCCGAGTTTAATGGTAAGGCTCATCCTGATGAGTTTATTGATCGGTTACATACGGTAGAACGGATTTTTGATCTTAAAGACCTAACTAAGGGGCAAAAAGTGAAGTTAGTGGCTATTATGCTGCGAAAATATGCTTTGATTTGGTGGGAACATGTGAAAAAGCAACGCGCTAGAGAGGAGAAGCCAAAGGTGGATCGCTGGAAGAAGATGAAAAAGTTGTTGCAAATTTTTTTTTGCCTACCCATTATAGGCAAGAGGCATTTATCGAGTATCATAACATTAAGCAAGGTGATAAAACGGTTGAGGAATTTACAGAGGAATTTGATCGCTTGCAGATGCGTTGTGATATGGTGGAGGAAGACGAGCAGATGATTGCTCGATATCTGGCAGGGCTGCGATATGAGATCTCTGATGTTGTCCAATTACAGTAGTCTTGGACATATGAGGATGTGTGTAGATTAGCCCTAAAGGTGGAGGGGTAGTTTAAAAGAAAGAGCAGTAAGTCTAAGTGGTCTAGCAGCGGTTCTAAGTGATTAGGCATCAGTTCCAAGTAGACAGACAAAGAGTCCCGAGGGAAAGCAGGGAGTTCTTCAGCCCCGGCGGCAGTTAAGGGCGTTGGTTCAAAATCTGCAACAAAAGGAGAGCAGGGTAGTGCTGGATCTAGCAGGGGAGGAGCTGCAGGCAAACGATGTTTCAAGTGTTAGGGACTCGAGCATTTTGCTGCTGATTGTCTGAACCGACAGTTTGTGACACTTGTAGATAATTCAACTTTTCATGAAGACCCAACTTATGATGAATCTGATGGAGAGCAAGAAGATGCGGATCTAGATCAGGAGGACATTGTCTATGCCGATTCTGGTGAGTCTTTAGTTGTGCGTCGGGTTTTAAATATTGCTGAGGTAGATGATGAATCGTGGCTCAGGCATAATATCTTTCATACTAAGTGCACTAGTGGGGGAAAGGTGTGTAGTATGATAATTGACGGGGGAAGTTGCGAGAATGTGATAGCTACCACTATGGTAGAAAAGTTGGGGTTGAAAACTGTCGAACATCCTCAACCATATAAGCTGTCATGGCTTAGGAAGGGGAATGAGGTAAAAGTGAGCAAGAGGTGTTTAGTGCAGTTCTCGATTGGGAAGAAATATACTGATGAAGTGTGGGGTGACGTAGTTCTAATGGATGCTTGTCATATTCTGTAGAGAAGACCTTGGCAGTTTGACAGGAAAACACAGCATGACGGATTCAAAAATACGTACACCTTTAAGAAGGATGGTCGGACTATTACTCTGGGTCCTTCAGATTTGAGAAAAGAAGGGAAAAGTAATATGCTTTCCAAATTAGAGTTCCAGGAGGAGGCGGTGAATGCCCCAGAGCTTTTTGCTGTTGTAGTCATGGAGCAGAATCTTGATAGTCTAGAAATTTCAACCAAAGTTCTGCCTATACTTGAGGAGTTTGCTGATGTCGTACCAGAAGAATTGCCACCTGGATTGCCACCCAAAAGGGACATTCAGCATTGTATAAATCTCGTTCCAGGAGCTGCTATTCCTAATAAGGCAGCTTACAGAATGAATCCTAAGGAGCATGAGGAGATGCAGAGGCAAGTGCAAGAACTATTAGAAAAGGGTGCCATTCGAGAGAGCATGAGCCCTTGTGCAGTATCGGCTTTGTTGGTTCCTAAGAAAGACGAGTCATGGAGAATGTGCGTGGATAGCAGAGCTGTCAACAAGATCACGATTAGGTATCGCTTTCCTATCCCGAGATTTGATGATTTAATTGATCAGCTGTATGGAGCGACTATCTTTTCGAAGATAGACTTGAGGAGTAGATATCATCATATTAGGGTGCGTCCTAGAGATGAGTGGAAGACCGCTTTTAAAACTCGAGATGGCTTGTATGAGTGGATGGTGATGCCTTTCGGGTTATCTAATGTGCCGAGCACCTTTATGAGACTGATGAATCAGGTGTTTCGTCCTTTTATTGGCTAGTTTGTCATTGTATATTTCGATGATATTTTGGTTTATAGTGCATCGACTGATCAACACTTACAGCATTTGAGAAGGGTGTTCGAGACATTGAGGGAGCAGAAATTATATGCTAATACCAAGAAGTGTCACTTCCTTACTGATTGTGTGACCTTTTTGGGATATCTCGTGCTTCCCGACTTTAATGAGATTTTTGAGGTGCATTGTGATGCTTCAGGTGTTGGTATTGGGGGTGTCCTGAGTAAAAAATGTAAACCTGTAGCATTCTTTAGTGAGAAGTTGAATGAGGCGAAAAGGAAGTATTCAACTTATGATAAAAGAATTTTATGCTATTGTGAGAAGTTTGGAGCATTGGAGGCACTATCTTATTTTGAAAGAGTTTATCTTCTTTTCTGATCATGAAGCCTTGAAATACATCAATGGGCAGCACAAATTGAACGCAAGGCATGCAAAGTGGGTGGAGTTCCTTCAAGTTTTCAGTTTTTCCATCAAGCATAAAGCGAGAGTGCTAAATAGTGTGGCAGATGCATTGAGCAGAAAACACTCTTTGCTGTCTACGATGTAGGTAAAAGTTCTAGGTTTTGATACTTTTTAAAGATTTATATGTTGATGATCCTCATTTTGGAGATATCTGGAGGAAGAGCAAAACGGAGCCTTTTCAGCAATTTCAGATCGTGGAGGGTTACCTATTTAAAGGTAACATATTGTGCATTCCTCAATGTTCTTTGAGGGAATCTATTATTATTGAGGGATATGCAGGCGGTTTAGCTGGGCACTTTGGCGTGGATAAGACGAAGGCCTTGTTGAGTGAACATTTTTATTGGCCTCGGATGGAGCGTGACGTGACGCGTTTTATAGAGAGGTGCAGGGTATGTCATGTGGCAAAGACCAAGAGTACTAATGCTGGACTGTATATGCCTCTACCTGTTCCAGTTGCACCGTGGGAGGATGTCAGTCTTGACTTTGTCTTGGGTTTGCGAAGAACGCAGTGGAGTAAGGATTCAATAATGGTGGTTATCGATAGGTTCTCGAAGATGGCCCACT